AGTTTGTGATGTGAAGATGAAGGAGTGCAGAGTGCTGGGAGAGATCTTCAAAGGTCGATAAACCTTCAAACTTCTCTGAGCCTCATCTTAGAGGCCCTTCTCATCATGATAATAACACTTAAGCAATCCAAAATTCAGCAGCCTAATGCATTTCAACATTTCAAAACCCCCTTCCCAGCAGGAGCAGCGCTGCTCTCTCTTCCCCAGCCATTGGACTCAGGTGCATCTCACTTTGCCATGGGCAGGAAGAGCCGGGGATGAAGAAGGGGCAGGAGGAAAATCCCTGGTTTTCACTGGTCAGAGCATTAATGACAACATGCAGAGCTCCCCTTGGTATTTTTTTACCTAAATGGGGAGCAGCTGCAGACAGTTTTAGCACAGGGGGCAGGGGGTGAAGGATTGGTGCTCGGTTTAAGCAGCCCGTGCAGCACCTGTGGCAGAAGGTACCCAGCCAGGATCACCGCCTCCGGGACAGGACAGAGGCTGAGCTGCTCTTCCCACGAGCAGAAGTAAACCAGGGCATTTCTTTTTGACCTTTGTAAAATTTCACCAAATCCACGTCACGTAATCCCTCTGTCCAAGGGATGTGCCTCGAACCGCTCGGCAACCTCCACCAGAGCCGGGAGGGAGAGCCCAGCGAGGAGCCCAGGTGCGGGGCTGGGGGCACAGCGGGAAGCGGCAGCGGCAGGCGTGAGCGGATCGGCAGCGCTTGCTGTCCCTCAGCCTCTCACGGCCAGACAGGTCAGCGGGACAAACGCCTCGTGCTGTTACACAGCGTGCGGTGCAAAACCAACCTCGAGTCCTTTCTGTGCCTCTGAGGTCACCTCCCTGCCCGGGCTCCTGCCTGGCCCTGCCCAGCCTCCCGAGCTGGGGGAAAACAGCTCACTTTCCGTCTTCGAACCTTTATTTCTACGGAACATCCGAAACAACAAAACCAACAACACAGTTACAAAAGGAGTTCACGGAGAAATGTGAAGCAGCCTGTGTTTGAAATGCTCTGTGTCACCGTACTGAGTCAAATATAAAACAATGCATATTTATACATATATAAAATATAAAAGGAACAATACATCAGAAATGTATAAACAAGGGCTATGGAGGCCTTCGTGGTATTTACACCCAGAGATGCGGCAGGGGGGGGGGCGTGGGAGCGGGCAGTGTCCGTGCAACACTGAGTTTTCAATGCATCTGTGAAAGTCTCTGCGGGCAGAGAGCAGCTCAGAGCTGGGCTCAGCCCTGCTGGAAATGGTCTGAAGGTTCTGCATGACTGGTGGGCTGGGAGGAAGCCAAAGCCTAAGGCTGGATCAGTCACGGGCCAAGGCAAACAGCGAGCGGAGGCAGTCCCCTGCCTCTGCCCGGGCTCCAACAGCCACGGCAGTGTAGCTGTGAAA